GGGGGGGGAGTAATTAAAGCGCTGTTTTCACAAGACTTGAACTAGGCTACGGTTCTAGGCCTATAAGGTACAAGTATACAATGCTATTGTCAAGTACGTGAGTACATATACCGAAGAAGTTGCATTCAGAGAGGTGATGCGGTTGGTGATCCATTTAGAACCTCCAAACTTATCATATTTTTAATGATTACTGTACTATTTCTATTATAACATAGTTGGCTATCATTATTATTGTTACTATAATCATTATAATTATTATTAATTTATATCTGTCTCACGGCCAACTGACAACATTGTACGCTTTGCTTACTGCTACCAGATAGGTCTATAACTATAATGAACACAATGCAGTCTACCGCTTCAGGTCGTTGGCCGCAACTTCGAATAAAACATAATATCTTTGGTTTGGTAAGGGGAAGCTACTCCAGAATACTAAACAATTTTTGTTTCTGCTGTTGACAAGTTACCCAACGAAGGGTGTTTGTTTACACTTACACAACACAACTGATGAACCAAAAAATCACAGGTTTTTTGGTTATAGCATGATACGTGACGAGCTTTTGGCCTCTCTAAGTTCTCACAGTGAACATGTTCATGTTACGCCAACGATAAACAAAAGAAAGACATGAAAAGAAACTCATTTAGGCATAGCAAGTGAAGTGAAGTTTCAGGTTGAGAGCCTCAAACTGTTGACCCCTGACCCTGTAACTGCACCTTGTACTACTTACTACTTGTAATTGTAAATGAGGGCCTTGGTCTATATTATGATTCATGACTGATAAATAAAACAATGCGTGCCTGCATTCATCACGTGATCTTCGAGTGGCTTCACCACATCGGGTAACTTCATTTTAATAATTATGGCACCTCTTTCACTTTCTGGACTTTCATTTAATTTGCTTTACTTTATGCGGCATGCCCTCCCACCCCGTACTCTGAGTGCCCATGTATATCTAACAACACGTTAACTTCATACTACACCTGTATTATGAATAGTTGCACTGCTTCTTAATATGCCTACGTAGCCTATTTTTTTATTTAGATCTAGTTTTCTGACCCTGTAACTATGATGTTATTGTATTAGGCTTGTGTAGACCTGCTCTTTGATTATAAATTATTGATCTTTCTAAACAACTATAGAGCTTTTAAAAAACTTTTAGTAAGTTAAAGCATTAGCGACAATACATTTTTTCCCCACCATAATTTGTTTCATAACAATGAAAGGCATCCGGTAATAAAGACTTTTTTAAAAATTCACCCTTTGCCCATTTTGTATTTCGGAATCCATAGATGTATGCCAGTATTTGCCATTGAAATTATAACGTCTATAAAAGTATGTCTGAATTGCTTTGTAGATTTTAATGAAATTATTAAATTGTTTTGATGCTCATGTCTGGCGACAAAGTAAAGATAAATTCAAAGACAGCTTTTCTAAGATTTTTTTCCCACAAAATTAATTTCGTGGGCCCAATCTGGCCTATACGCCCCTGCAGGTGGGGAGCCCCTTAGTTTTACTATGGGGGAGTAAAGAATACACCTGCCATGATGCTGCGTGTCGAAAGAGGTGACTAAAGGTGCATAGGTCTAGCCACCCAAAAAGTGACAGTTTGCGGAGGGCCAACTACCCGACCCAGTAAAAAAGGAAAGTTATAGAAACACGAACAAACATGCCTTTTAATTGTTCCATCTTGGGAGACGGAGGAGCTTCTGCATCAGCAGTAACAATGAAGGACAGCGGACAAAGCCGAAAGGACTCTTCTGACCCAAAACCTTCTCTGTTGAAAAAGTCTCCGGATTGCGTCGTGGAATGTTCGCACCATGTATGGAGCAGGAAAGAGTTCTCAAGTGACACAAGAGATGAAAAGATACAGGCTGCATATACTAGGAATCAGCTAAACCCACTGGATACAGTCTGGACAGAAGCAGCTCAGCTCGGGGGAACAAGTATTGTATTCTGTGAGGGAAGACAAGCTCCATGCGGAGGGAGTTGGAATTATTTTGAGTAGGTATGCACAGAAGTCACTTAGAGGATGGGAACCACAGGGGGAGAGGATCATCATGGCTTCTTTCACTACCAGAAGTAAGAGCATCAATATGAACATAGTAATAGTACAGATCTACGCCCCTACAAACGATGCTTCGGATGATGACAAGGATGCTTTTTACAGCCGGCTCCAGGGGATCATCGACAGACTGCCAAGGAAAGATGTCAACATCATAATGGGAGATGCTAATGCCAAGATTGGTCAGGACAACGTAGGTTACGAGGGAATCATGGGACAACATGGCCTGGGACAAATGAATGAGAACGGTGAGCGGTTTGCAAATCTCTGTGCTTTCAACAGTCTTGTCATCGGAGGCTCTGTTTTTCCCCTTAAGAGGATCCACAAGGCTACTTGAGTATCACCGGATGGAGTGACGGAGAACCAGATCGATCATTTTTGTATCTCTCGTAGGTTCAGGCGCTCACTGGAAGATGTCAAAGTACAGAGAGGGGCAGACGTTGGATCGGATCATCATCTGCTGTTAGCAAAACCCGAGCTTCGTCTCAAAAAGCATGGAACCAGAACAGGAACCAAAAGAATGAAGTTCCAAGTAAGTCTTTTAGATGGACACAAGAAACAGGAGTTTCAACTGCAGTTGAGGAACAGATGTCAACCCTTGGCGGATCTTGGTGAGGAAGACATGGAGGTGGATACACACTGGAGTCTTTACTTCAACATGTCAAGAAGTACTCGGTGTGAAGGAATGGGAGCACAAGGAATGGATTAGCCAACATTCATTGGATTTAATTAGGATAAGAAGACAGCTGAAGGCAGAAGCGAATGAAAGTAGAACAAGAGGATCAAGAACAGATGCATTGGAGCAGTACAGGAAAACAGCTGAAGATGTCAAGAAATCACTAAGAAAAGACAAGGAGGAATTCATGAACAGGCTGGCTGAGAAGGCAGAGGAAGCAGCGATAGGAGGGCACATGCGAATCCTTTACCAGACCACAAGGACACTTTCTGGAAAATACGGGAAACCTGAAGTACCAGTAAAGGACCAAGAGGGAAAAACCATTTTTGGAAAGGAAGCTCAGTCCAAACGATGGGTAGAGCATTTCAACAGTCTCCTGGACAGACCACCTCCGAGTAACCCACCAAACATCCTGCCAGCAAGAAATGAGTTACCAATCTGCTGTGATGCTCCTTCAAAACAAGAGATTCTGGATACCATTAAAAAGCTGAACAAAGGTAAAGCGGCCGGTCCTGACCAGATTCCACCTGAAGCCCTAAAAGCAGATGCCATGGTGACGGCAGACATCCTCCTCCCACAGTTTACCAGGATCTGGAATGAGAACAAGTTCCCAAAGGATTGGAAAGAAAAGGACACCTCGTGAAGCTTCCAAAAAAGGGGGATCTCAGCAACTGCAGCAACTACAGAGGGATCACTCTTCTCTCAATGCCAGGTAAGGTCTTCAACAGAATCATTCTGGAGAGAATCAAGACAGCAACGGATCCAAGACTACGGGATGAACAGGCTGGTTTCCGGAAAAAATCGCTCAACCACCGACCAAATTGCCACGTTGAGGATTATTGTGGAACGGTCCCTGGAGTGGAACTCCCAGCTGATCGTCGACTTCCTTGACTATGAGAAGGCTTTTGACATTATAGACCAAGCAACACTATGGAAGATACTGAGACACCACGGAATCCCACAGAAGATGGTGAACCTCATCAAGAGCATGTACGAAGAGACAAGTTGCAGGGTTGTACATGATGGCCAGCTCACTGACAACTTTGACATCGAGACTGGTGTGAGACAGGGATGTTTATTATCACCGTTCCTCTTCATATTGGCAGTCGACTGGCTGATGAAGGAAACCACAAGAGGACACAGAAACAGTATACAGTGGACCCCATGGACACAGTTGGACGATCTGGACTTTGCAGATGACTTGGCGCTTCTGTCACACACTCAGGAACAGATGCAAGCAAAGACAACAATTTTAAACAGCCTATCAGAGTCTGTTGGATTGAGGATCCACCCCGGAAAGTCGAAAGTCCTAAGGATAGATGAACTTCGAAAGGAGCAGGTTACAGTACAAGGAAATGCAGTAGAAGACATCGAATCCATCTGCTATCTTGGTAGTATAATTGACAGAGAGGGAGGAACAGGCGCTGAAATAAAGTCCCACATTGGAAAGGCACAGACTGCATTTATTTCTTTGAACAGGATTTGGAGGACCAGGGATATTTCATTACGAACAAAGCTTTGAATTTTCAACTCAAATGTGAAGTCAGTCTTGTTGTATGGATGTGAAACGTGGAACGCATCCCATACGTGCATAAAAAGGATCCATGTTTTCTTAAACAAGTGTCTGAGGAAGCTACTGAGGATGAAATGGACAGACAGGATTACCAACGAGGAAGTATTAAGAAGAACCAGACAGAGCCCAGCCAGAGATGAGGTGGGAAGAAGACGTTGGCGATGGATTGGACACACTCTCAGGAAGTCAAGCAGCTGCATAACAAGAAAAGTGTTAGATTGGAACCCACAGGGTAAAAGATCAAGGGGAAGACCTTGTGGAACCTGGAGAAGAGTCACGGAAATGGATGTACGGAAAAGTGGGAAGATGTGGAGTGACATCAAGCGACTAGCCCAGGATAGGGAAAGGTGGAGAGTGTTTGTTCGTGGCCTATATCCTGACCCAGGGTGAGAAAGGCAATGATGATGATGAATCTGGCCTATAGGCTGTTGTTTGGAGACCATTGCTTTAGTTTGTCCTGCAGGCCAGGGTACTGGCTTTACTCCCCTTGAACACAATTTAATAAGGTATGGAATTATGTTCTCCTTGATAATGATGTAGGATCATAAATTTAATTTCTTTCTTTTCCAGCAAAATAAAATCTTTGGTTCCTGTGAGCAAATTGCACGTTCATCAAACTAGAGTGAGGATGGCGTCATCATCTGGAACTGGAACAGGTCATTTGGACAGAACTGCAAACAATGAAAGGCATCAGGTAATAAAGATGAAATTTTGGTTGACAATGAATAACAAACACTGACTTTCTTTTAAACCTTTTGAATTTTGAATTCCCCTGAAATAAAAAATGCATAGGACATTCGGTACACAATATATGTCTCCTATTTTCACTTTATCGTAATGAATTTGGGTTTAAGTTTTGAAATACCTTATATAATTTTTTTTTAGCTTTTTTTAAAATTCACCCTTTGCCCATTTTGTATTTCGGAATCCATAGATGTATGCCAGTATTTGCCATCTCATTTCCAAGTGCAGCTGAACTCCAATGCATGCTGTGCAGTAGAAAACAAGTTTTAATATTTGTTAAAACGCCACCGCTTTATACAGGTGGACATGTTGTGTACATTTGACAAGTACTCACAGATGTACATATTGTTGCAAGTTCCGCTTGAATTTTTGTGAAAGTGATGAATTTTAAAAAGTAATTTAAATTCTCTGTTGGTCCCAATGTGGTAGCACCGCTTTTTATATCATTTTTAAGCAGATAACACAAATGTCCATAGAGATTTCTTTAAAAATTGCAAAAGTGATTAATTCAAGTTGCGTATGAAAAATAAACGGTTTACTATTGTTGTTCACATATATCATTGACATAATGTCATGGAGTCTCGATAAGAAAGAATTATTTCATTCAATAAATTCTTAACTGGTATATTTTTTGCCATGAGGTAATTAGAATTGCTTTTTGAAGTGCTGTAATTTACTAGATAAGCTTTCACCGTATTTATTTGATCTTTGCAGAGAAGAATTGGAGTCATTGATGTGTTTATCTACTCTTGTATTTATTTTGATTAATCTCACCTCCTTAATTCAATTACTATGTACAGTACCATAATAAAAATATCCCCCCCCCCCACAACACCCCCCACACACACACACACACACACACACACACACACACACACCCCCCCAGGCGGCATATGTATGTATAAGAGAATATACTTTTGAGCCTTTAAACTCTTTTCTTTTATAAAGTCTCCACCTTTGTAGATAAACTTGACGAAAATAGTTTTTCATGGATATTTTCATTACTTGACGGGTGTAGTTTCAATTTGACTCAAGCCATAATGCAAAATGCAGGCTTCCCCGAAAAGAGTGGTTTCTATGACTTTTAAGGCTCTGCCATCACATCTTGCCGATCGGCTATGTTTATCACTCAGTTTCTAAGGATTTTCCCCAAAATGCCTTTACCTTTGGTGGTAAGAGTTTTTACTATATGAGCCTTGTGATGACAAAGTGTTAATAATGAAGCTTTTGTTTGCTCTGTCATTTTGAGCTATATATTCAATATGAAAGAAAAGACACTGATGTTCTATGATGATGTGTCATATAATTATAATGTATTATCCATGACTTCTGGGGCCTGCAGAAAGATCTGTCAAAATATTATAGTAAAGACATTCACATCTGTGTAGCTGTGGCCCAAATGGCCACACCAGGCAATAACTTCAATAAGTTCACTCATGATTGTATCAAGCTTTATACAGAACTTTTTTCGATAGCAGCATGTTCTGTTTCTTTTCAGATGTGAGTTGATAACGATGTTTTTTGTGTTTGTTGTCCTATTACTATTACAGGTTATTTCACCTGCTCAAATCAAAGAAGTGAAGAACATTTCACCTACAGTCAAGCAGCTGCGGGTACATGTGATGGATAGTTGCTTCTTTTTTAAAGCAGGCCAATGGTAAGGAGTTCAGATGTATAGCCTATCTGCTTTTTTAGTTTGTCTATTGCCTTGATAGTTTTCCTGCATATGGGTTGTTGGTTTTTTTTGTATATTGCTGATTGTTATAGTGCTTACGTGATAAAGTTTGGTGGTCTCAGAGATAGAGACAATGTTACATGATTTAAAGACATGCAGGAATGTCTTGACATCTCAGCCTTTATTTCCTTTGAGAAAATAGAAATGTATATGTGAATCTCCCTTGACAATACGAGATGTTTTTGAAAAGACCAGTTGAGACCCAGGTCATGCTGGCAGATGGGAGGTGAACCAATTTCTTCCTGTTTAAAAATTTGCCGATTATACAAATAAATAAAAAATGTGTTTAGAGAAATTTTCAGTATAATGTTCTTGGTCTTTTGAGGGCAGTTAGTTGGAATGTGCCACTGGTAGGTCCTACTTCTTTTCTTTCCCTCTGTTGTTTATCTATCTCTGTCTTTCTTTGACCCTGCACTATGTGATAGTTATTGAGTTGATGTGCTTCTCTTTACTCAAACTTCAACTCTTTCGATTGGGTGGTTGATGGATGCTCTGATGTTGTTTGCTTTTTCTTTCCCTTTAAACGTCTGTCGTTCTTATCTGTCTCTATCCTTTTTTTGTTCTTTTTACTCTATTGTAACAGTAACACTAACACCTGTAGTCTTTGGAACTCATATGACCTGATTGTGTTGCAAGTGCCGTAAAACTCTTACTAAAACTAAAACGAAATTGTTTTGAGGGTGGACATGTTCATCCCTGGTGTTGACGTAGTGGGTGGCTACTCCATGTGCTCTGCACCCCACACACTGGTCTCCACTGGTCAGCTCGTTTTGGCTGTGAAGTCATCGCCTCATCCTCCTGCTCACTGGGTCCACACTAAGGTTAGCTTGGGTAATTTAACTCATTGTAGCTGGAACTGATTTCAGTGGTTTGATGGAATAGATTTTGTTAACTCTATTCAATTCTACTGTCGCTTGACTACTTTCACTACATGTGCTTCAACTCAAGACAAAAAAACGGACATAAACACAAAGGCAAAGGGGAATAGCTTCCCCTTTGAGAAGCTTTGTACAAAGTTTATTCTCATACACAGCTGTTTAGATGAGAAACTGTTGTTTGTAAAGTGTATAGAGCATGCTGTAGAGCGTGGATATGCACTATATATAGATGCAATTATTGTTAATATTATTATTATTATTATTATTATTGTTATTATTATTATTATTATTATTATTGTTATTATTATAGACTAGCATATATACTGTCTACATCACACCAGCAACTGTGAGTGGTCACTCATAATTTTGGGAAAAAGCATAGCCACTCAAGTTTAGTGTGTTAAAACCTCTGTTCAAGGAGATAAAGTTTGGGAAGTTAAATGATATTGCTAAAAAATATTGTAAATATTTGGGGTTCTCCTCATCATCATCAGTCTTTCTCACCTTTTGCTGAAGTACAGGTCACCAACAAGAGCTTTCAGCCTACTTCTGTCTATATAAGTAACTAATGTCTCCACGGCTGTCCAGCGGTATCCCATCTCATTTAGGTCTGAATCCAAGTCCCTCCTCCAATTTTGGGTGCTAAATTTCCTGAAATTCTTCAGATTTTCTGATGGAATCTTTAGTACCAGTAGGCTACTTTTTATTTCTTTTATTTTATATATATATATATATGGAATGTGCCACTGGTAGGTCCTACTTCTTTTCTTTCCCTCTGTTGTTTATCTATCTCTGTCTTTCTTTGACCCTGCACTATGTGATAGTTATTGAGTTGATGTGCTTCTCTTTACTCAAACTTCAACTCTTTCGATTGGGTGGTTGATGGATGCTCTGATGTTGTTTGCTTTCTTTGACCCTGCATATATATATATATATATATATACAGTCGAACCTGCCCTGACGGCCACCTCTATAAGACGACCACCTGTACAAACGGCCACTTTCCATTTCCCCCCTTTTTTCTATATAATTTAACTGTGTAAAGCGGGCACCTGTCCAACGCAGCCGCGGCCACAAAAATTTAACACACAACCCCTATAATACTAAGCAATAATACCTGTCTAAGACGGTCACCTTAGTGACTCCATTACGTTTTGTCATAAATTGTGCATTGGCCCCTGGCGTTGTGGGCGAGCAGTCATAATTCAATCACCTGTCGCTGTTGTTAGGTAGTCCCTCCAACCGATCATGTTGCGTAGGCCCCTCCCACTGTTGACCAATAGCTACCAATTTTCAGCTGCAGGTGAGTTAGCGTGTGATCCCTCATAACCCATAAGCCCCGCCCAGAACTCATACACAAATCGTAAATGAGATGAGTGGTTACTGTTTACCCAGTCTGTAACAAAGTAACAAAGGACGTCAACATGAACTTGTTACAGAAGCGACCCTCGTTCTCCGAGTGGTGGCGACCCATGTGTTTGTTTTAACATGGCACTCGGTCTTCCTTGTCTGATACATTTCGTTTTATTGTCACCATTGGGCAAAATCAGCAACAAAATAAAAATTACAAACCAGCAGCAACAACACCAACAAAGACAATTACAATGGGGCTACTTTCGATTGGGGCCTCTGATGGGAATGGTTTGTTTTCTTTATCTTGATCAGTCCTGCCAAAGACGGCCACCTGTCTTATGCGGCCACTTTCCTCCTTGACAATGGGTGGCCGTCTTACACAGGTTTGACTGTATATATATATATATATATATGTATATATATATATGGCTGTTTATACCTATTATTCAATTGAAATATATACGCTTATATTTTGGCATGCAATTCTGTGTTTTTGGATCATACTGTTAGTGTTACCAAAAAAATGTTTAATTGATAGAGGTCCAAAACATTTCTTATCTCTCTTACTTCTCTTCATTGTCTTGTTTTATTTTCAAACTGCTAAATGAATATTGCACTTCTCTTTTTTTAGAATCCGCAAACAGATTAACTTTGGGAAATGTTTGCTTATTTTGTTTGCAGTGTAAAGAAGGAAGTGAGGTGAAAATGAGAGCTGGAGGAGATTTTTTCTATGATCCACCCAAGCATGCCTGTACTGAGGACCTCTTGCTTCTTGCTGGTGGTGTGGGTGTTAATCCGCTGTTCAGTATCCTTCAGCATTTCATCCATTTACACCCCTCACAAGAGCGTGACAGAAATGCAGGGGCCAAGAGTCAACCAAAAGTTTCTTTCTTGTACAGTGCTCAGAATATGGAAGAACTAATATTTAAGGTTAGTTGTTCTTGCTATTCACAATGTAGAAAGTTTCACTGGAAGTTTTGGGTGGAGAAATGTGTTTAGTGTTGCCGAAACAATTGTTTAAGAGTTTGCTCTAAATATTGACAGAGCTGTACTGTAGTCTCTGCCTTGAGGTAAGCCATATAAAGGCACGTTCTTATTTTTTAAACTATATAATTTAGCAAATGCATGGTCATTTTTTCTAAACGCACGCTTCGATCCGAGAAACATGCTGACAAGTAAAGCCGGAAAAAGAGACATTTTTGCAACAACCAACGCAGCTCGCATAAGACAAGTCTAGACAACCAGATATTTGCCAAGACTGCCCGTCACACAGAGTTAAGACAAAGAGTGTGATGGAGAGCTTTTTCACACTAGTGTCCTCAGACATAAAGGACGGACGAGCGATATGTTTTTTTTTAGGTGGGTTACTGAACGTCTTTTGATTGGTTACTGGAATGCATCTTTGAGAGAAGGTTTTGTGCTGGAGTTTGAGTGTCTGCAATGTTTAGTTAGGCTTATGAATGACTATGATGCGCAACTCATGTGAATGATGTAAAACACTGGATAGGCTTATAGGATTAAAGTTTAGGCAAGTGATCAGCTGCACTGGAAGAACATATAACGTACACGTTGAACGAATTATTATAGAAAAGTCTTTCAGAATTTCTGTTGCTATTAAATTACGTTATCCATGCATTTACCAAGTTGCAAAGATGACAGGCAGTTGGGAGTGGTCACATGGAAAGCAGTATGGCTGAGTGCTCCACCTTATGTTTATCACCAGCAATTTCTTCTTATTTGTTCTCAACATGTTACTCCAATCCGTTCTGTGAGTCAAGTCTTTCCGCTTTTTTTCATTACTCATTCATCGCCTTTGTGGACGTAACAGTAATTGGGGAATCCTTTACAAAAAAGTCACGTTGTGTCTCGTTCTCAGTAAAAGCCCCTATGAGATGGTTGTGTACCCTTCCCCCTTTGCACAGGTTCTCGTGCACGCTCCATGTAAACGTATCCTGGGGGCTCTCGTGGCCTAGAGGTTAAGGTGTTGGCCTCTCATTCAAAGGTCCCGGGTTCGATTCCGGGTAGCGACCAAAAAATTTTCTGCTCTAAAATTGTCTCCTTTCAGCTCCTTTCCTGCTCTCTAGCAATGTTCTGTTGTCTGCTTTCATTTCCACTTTCTGCCCCCACCCCTTCACCTCCTTTGCCCCCTCCTCTGGGCTCCTGACTCTTTCTGCAGCCTTTCTACTGTTACTCCTTGGCTCCTCCTTACTGCTGTCTTTCTGCCACACCCCTGATCTTCTGGTAGGAAAGATCTACACCTAGCCTTCTCGGACAAGGGCGAAAAATCTCGGAGGGCCCGTGTGCAAGTTGCGCACGTTAAAGATCCCTTGGTGGTCTAAAATCGATAAGAGTAGGCTTCGGCCGCCACCCGGGCAAAATTCAAAATTTTCTACCAACTGAAAATATTAGGAGTGTCCCGCGCGCTCATATGACCTATGCAGTTGCGAGCGCCGTAAAACACTTTACAAAAACAAAAAAACGTATCCTTAGGAGCCCTCCTGAGCACTGTGAGTTTAGGCGGAGACTTCTTAATGAATGTAATTTGTTTACGTTCAGTGCAACATTTTTCAAAACAGCACTCTGTTTTTAACTTAGATTTAATATTTGAATGGAAATACATGCTTCGACAGAGCATTAACATTTTCACTTTTACATCAAATCGCATTCTAATAAGGGGAACAGTTTTAATGATTTGTCCATGTTTCTGATTCAGGCTGTAAATGAATAAAAGTAAAAGAAATATTGTATGGTGGAAAAGAAGTTTCATCCCAGATCTTGATTAAGAAATCCTTGGTCTCCAGTTAAAGTATGTTCAAAACTGACATGTTCTCCGAGATATGTATGGAAGTTTAGCTTTACCAATGATTTTGTTGGAATTAATTTGTTTACCGGTACATTGTAAATCAGTTACTTAACTAGTTGAATGAGATTTGAACATTCAAGAGAGACATCAACTTGGAGAGATATTCACACATGCGTAGCATCATTTCCATCCACGAATCAGTTTATGATTTATATCCTTTTCTTGTATAAAGAGATATTGTTATGCTCTTGTAATGGTCTTGTATATTATTATTGTACTACATTCCATTTGATGTATTCAATAATTTTACTAAATTCCTCATCTTGTTTGAGGTACCATTAGAGTGTTCAGAATAAATTGGTTCTTTGAAGAATTTAAAGGACATGTAATTAGTATTGCGAAGTATGAAAATTATATCCTCTTATGCTCTTGTTTTCCAGGAAGAACTGAAAGAGATTGCTGGTAAGAATCCAAATGTCAATTTGAAAATGCACTGTACGAGACAGGCAGTTGAAAGTGCAGACTTCATCTCAGGTAAGACAAACAATAGTAACCTATACATATATATATATATATATATATCTTTTTCTAAATTTATCTGATCGTTTGATTCAGAATAAGTTGGACCCATTATATAATTATTAGTTTTTGTGTTTTCCGTATTAGTATTACAGAATCAACCCTGCTGATTTACTCGTTGAAATTAAATAAAGAGAGAAATTGTCTTGTCAGTACATGTATACGCGGGCAGTCTTGCATACAGACATAAGTCATTTTTGGCAGCCTTTGAGATATGTCTGTATGCAATACTGCCTGCGTATGCAAGGGTGGGGCAGGGGTAGAGAAGTGATGAGGGTCTTATTAAATTTATTTTCAGTAAAATAGCCAGCCGGCTTATCCTTGCTGCTGGTATATATAGTCCATGCCGGCTTTAAGCACGGTCATCGGGAGAAAGCTTAAGCGTGCTTAAAGCTGAAGCGTGCTTAAGTGCGAAATCGACATAATCCAGAGATTTTCATGTAGAAAATTCCCCGTGCTATTTCCCTTTGTTTGTAAGTAGGCCTACAGCGGTCCCGCAAAAGTGTGCACTGTTATTTAGACACCCGCCAGTGCAGTTTTTGTTCGCTTGTTTGTTTTTGTTTTGTGGTCGAATGGGAAATGAAAACTTAATATTTAGAGGGCCAGTCACAACACAGCACACTAGGCCTACTGTAACACACTGCCTGTGCGTACCACTGCCCGCTGTGCCACTCATACCACTGCTTTCATCCCATCTCGCACGTGATACACAATCAGGATTAATGGATAGCGAGGGTCAAAGGTGAAATCGCCGCCAGCCTCCCTTTCCCGTCTCCCCAACTCTCTTTGTATTTTTTTTTTTGATCGTGTGTAGCTTTGCCCTAGGCCTAGGCTAGATCCTATGTCCGCGCGCACAGCTGTGTGCATCTCTCTGCCTTCCTCTCCGCCCGTGTGAGTGTGTGTGTCCATCACTTGCAGTCTTTGTGTTTCTCTTGACACACTCCACTGCTGCGGTGTAGACTGTGTTCGAACTTCGATGGGTCATCATGAAAATATTGACTGTCTTGTAAATGAAGCGTGCTTGAAGCCGAAGTTACCGTGCTTAAAGATGTGTAATTTATATAGCAAAAATGCGGTAAGAGACGTTTAGCGTGCTTGAGTCCGAAACGTGCTTAAGGCCGGCGTGCTTAAAGCCGGCACGGACTGTAATTATTGTGGACTGGTAAACCTGTCTCACTTTCTTTTTATGTGGTGAAAAATAGCATGTGATATCATTTTATCATGTTTACTGTGAATTCACCAGAATGTCACGAATTCATGGTTGAAAGTTTGGACATATTGGTTAACTCTTTGTCTTTTATTGTTTGTTTGGGCATATAATTTTATAAATGAGGGTTGAAAAAGTTGCAATTTCCTCTGTTGATTATGTAGCCTATTACTTTCATTGGTTCATTTAGAGCCGTGTCACCTTAGAATGATTGTGGTTACCCGTTTTTTACTGCCCTTTACAGGAGTTTATGTAAAAAAATACAGTTGAACCTGATGTAATAGCCACCTGTTTAAGATAACGACCTGTACAAACAACCACTTCCCATTTCTCCCCTTGTCTTTTCTGTTTTTCATTATAATGACACTGTGTAAGACATCTACCCAACTCTTCTCCTTGACAATGTATGGGCATTTTTAGAAAACTTTAAATACACTTGTTTCTCAATTTTTTGGGGTTTTTTTTTAGTTTGTTGCAGACTTGTGCGGTAGGTAAAATAAAAGTAAGCTGTGGACAATTTACTGATCACATTTTTGTCTGTTCCATTTTTATGTTCAACTCAGGTGGAAGGATTGGTCAGAAAGACATTGAGCTGACTTCTTCTCAGCTGGACAAAAGCAAAGCACAAGTGTACATATGTGGGCCAGGATCTTTCATTAAGTCTATGGAATTGTACTGTCAGAACTCAGGGTTTAACAAGTCATCAATCTTTTACGAAACATGGTGGTAATAATAATACTTGTGAGCGTGTGTGCAATTCAATGTTGAATAAATGTTGTCTGATCAGAAAAGATACGTCTGATGTTGCTGATCTTGACTTTTCTTTTTGTCTTTACTGCCGATTCTCTGTCAAAATCTTTACCTGTTATTGTATCATGTTTAAGAAAATGTGAGCAATTCCGTGCAGTATTATGTACATGTACATACAGGTAGGCTATCATGTTCAGATGTGACCAGACAAAATTTTTGTAAATCGTTGATGACAAAAGAAAAAGTTTAAGAAATGTGTTCAAACTAAACCAATAAATTGTATAAATTCTTGAAGACTGTGTTATGTATTAGTATTTTAATTTGAAGGTGGTTGTCCGTTTTGTGTAATAATTAGGCTCTTTGCAGTTACAAGCAAAGATATTAGTTTTATTCCATTCGCAATAGTGGGCTTGGCATTAATTTTGAACATTATTTCTGTCAAGTCAAAGTGCATTCACCATGTTATTGTCATGGAGTTGGCGGCATTTTTTCTGTGAAGTTCATTTACCTTTCTCAGACGAAAAGCAATAGACAGAACTCAGTAACAGTTAAACCAAAAATAGTGATAATCCAAAATAAAAGGGAATCTCCTGAAAATAGAATCTCCAGAAAAATGCTTTGTCTTTGTAAGAAAACTATGAACTAGCCAAATGCTCCCATTTCTAAACCGAAAAGAATTTCGATGGTAATTTCTGAATCTTCACAAAGAAACCCTCAAGTAGGCTTCTACACATCAAGTCCAACTTTTTTCAAGATGGCGAGACAGAAGAAAGAGACACAAAATCACACCTGAGTCGATTGAAGCCCAGAGAGAGGCATCAGCAGTATACTGTTAACCTACTAAGTTTATTATCTGACCGTCATTTGGTCATGACCTATTGTCTCTGTGAAGCCACGGCACTTGATGCGTTTCATGACCTGTCCTGGTGGTTTTATGCATGCACCCCGCATAATTTTAGCAAAATTTGATCATGTTTTGCACAATTTCTGATTATTTTCCTTTATCATTCTTTTTTAAAATTAACAGAATCGCATAATTTCACATTTTGGGGCTCAGTTCGCATGATTTCAGAATATTTCTTGTATAAAACGACGGGAACAGCATGACATCACTGTGGCACTAGACCTTTTCTTTTCTCTTGCCTTGTACGGAGCACTGTACTGCACAGTGTACTGTTCTACTCCCTCGTCTATTCTGTGTGACTGTTTTGTAGATTAAGTTGACAATATCGAAAAGAAAGCATAACGTGTTTGCCCTGCAGCTCAAATTGCAGTTACTAAAAGAGTTAGGTAGATGAGGAAAGATTTCAAAAAGTGAAATTTGCCACAAACTTGACATTCCCAACTCTACCTTGTCAATAACTATTTCCAGGAGAGGAAGAATTGAAACTTAAAAAAACATTCTAACACCCCCCTCCCCCCCCCAACAACAATCGAGCAGTAGTAGTAGTAGAGTGAGCCAGTGCCGGTGGAAATAGCCACATTTCTAATCCTAAGATGTGACAAAACTCAGTACATGTACTAGTAGGCCCTCGCCTATTCAGTCAGAAACTATAACACGAACACAGAAAACTCAAAATCATGGACAGGTCCTACAATTTGCTATTCCGCGTCTGATATCTCTTTAATTTTCCACTAACGGGTTACCCAAATTATAGAGGTGTTGAACACATTTGTCAATCCAGCGACATGTTTGATTTATCTGTGCCCGACTGTATTTCAGTGGAATCCTATTATAACGAGAGGGAGGGGACTGGAGCAAAATGTCCATTATAACACAATTCTCGCTGTAAGGGATCCAGTAAAAAATTCAAGGGAAACTGTAAAGTACGCCTAATCTATGAGTTTGGTGTTCTGTTTATTTCCTTTTGCTATCTCCTCTGATGATGATCACCTCCAGTCTGTGGGAGAGCCACTGGGAAAAACAGAAAAAACAATAAACTATATGAAATAAAACCCAAACTAGAACAACGAAATCCTTCGGACCTCTCCAGAAGAGACGAAGTCATTTTTACTCGAATGCGCATTGGACACACGGCCCTGACCCACAAATACCTCCTACAGGGAGATGAGAAGCCGTTCTGTATCGGATGCGAAACAGATTTTACCGTCAGACACATCTTAACCGAATTTCTAGATTTTGGAGAGATCCGAAGGAAATAATATAAATACAAGAAATTGCAAGACATTTTTTCCGTCGTTGGTCCCAGCAAAATTTTGAATTTTATGAAGACCATTGGCCTTTATGGCAAATTGTAAAATGAAATCGTACTATTTAAAATAGTTATTGTTACTTATAAGACTTGTTTTAAATCGCAAATATATTTACACTGAATTTTAATATTTTAGCATTTTAAAGTCAAATAGTTAACCAATCGCGCAGTGAACTTTTGCGAAAGTAAACAACTTGTGTTTCTCGCGCTCATATGACCTTAGCAGTTGCGAGTGCCGTAAAACCCTATACTACTACTACTACTAGATGATTTAGTTCAACATGACGTCTAGGTCTTACTTGATCAAAAATCGAATCAGGTTTCTTTCTCTAGCGCTAGATCTAGCGATGTGGACTGACAGCTCGGCATTGGCGATCAGAAAGAAAGGGCTCTAGGCTAACTCGCCCGCTGTGTTTTCCCCCACCCCACCCCACCCTGTGGTGCATTGTCTGCTTGCGCACGTCACACATTCGCTCCATCCATCACATTGCTGTGACCTCTCCATCCCCGCATCGGAGAAGTGAGAGGCATGGTAGGCCTTGATAATATAAACTAGGCTTACGCTGGCCTATCACGCGATGCGTTCTGCTTGTCTGCGCATGCCACAACCTCCCTACTCAGTCGCTCCGGCCTTCATTGTTGACCCACATCGGCTCTCCCATTCTTTGTTTGGCTAGTTCACCAACAAGTTTCTCAACTGGCGAGGTTTTACATGATGTATAATTGGCCTTTGCACTGTGCACAGCAGCAGCAATATTCCGCTATAATCGACTCGCGTGTTTGTCTAGTAGCGCTATAGCAGTATTTTATTTACAAAGGTAAAGAGGAGAAAAAAACGGGGTTTTAGAATAGTGTCGTTATAACAGACTTCTCGTTTTTTCCGGACTCCTTATAAGTGGACTCCACTGTATAATTCTTAGGATTTTAGCAAATTACTTCCCTTTAGTGTGAATACCATTTGAACAATATCAAACTATAAAAATGCGGTTATACTAAAGAAAATCTGGCTGTCCCGCAGATTTCAGTTTCAATAAATTTCACATAAATACACACACAATGCACTTACACATAGAGACATCAAAGTAAAGGGCGTATATGGCGACAACAAAATTAATTAACAAAGTTTATAAACATGTATCTTTTAATTGATGTTCTTTGAGTCATGAGTCATATATAAGTTGCTTGATCAGGAAACAACTACCATCTGCAATGCATATAGCAAAACTGGGGCGATTATGAGCATCTTTTCGTCATGTGTGAATTTCATTTAGCACAAATATTAGATACATAGAATATAAATGTTTTGGTACCTGAAAATCTCTTCACTATGTGCATGCTAGACTAATTTCAAATAAGAATGAGATTTCTGCACCTCACAATTTCTGGTTGCACAGTTTTTTCAATAATAATAAAGTTCTCAAAAGCCTCCAGTTGGCTACACATTCATTATTCTTTCTCCTTGATGTAACTCCGCAGTACCGGTAACCAGATATGACACTTTGAATATCAACATGAAAGCATACCAGGTGTAGTCTCAATCTTTAGAAGGTAGCCAAATATTAAACAAAGCTCCAGAGGAGATGATATTGATATTCAATGATATTCAATACAAAAACAATCAGCCACCTTTTGCCTGTGACAGAAGAAAGGATCAGTCTTTGGTTTCAGGAAAAGTAAATGCAACACTTTTCAATTTGTGGACTGTCTCTCTTCCCAAATATTCTGCAACAAGGTGAGTCAGCTGGCAAGCATTTGCCCTCTCTCAGTTCGTCAACATTTTCACATGTCCAGGATAACTCATGAGTGTCTTCTGCATGAACCTTACAAGGTTTCTTTGAATGCTGCTCATAGAGGATTGGTCCATATATATAACTGTTCTCATGTTAAGTTTATCAACAAAGAACCAGCAGATTTTTACAAGAGAGAGGTACTCTGGGACAATGTTGTCTTTACAACAATTTAAAAATTCATCTTGAGGCAACCTGCACTAAAATATCTCCAGCAGTGTTTCATCTGGGTTATAGTTTTTTAAAATAAAATACAGCAACAAAAAATAATTTTTAAATACCCATAGAAATCAACAAAAGATTTTAGAATGATGCTTTACAGATGCTAAATGAGTAGTTATTTTTACACATTATAATATAGACCAGAAAACAATCATGAAAGACAAAACAAAAGTTTCTGATGCCTGTGTTGGCAACCACAATTTCTTATTTGATCACAGTAGAACAAAAGAGTCACCTATCCTTGTGACTTAAAAATGATTCATTAATGCAATGTAACTTCACTGACAAAAAAAAAACATGTTACAAAAGCAACTGTTCAATCTTATCTCATTATAGGTACTTAGAATTTTAAAACCAGCTGCAGTGCCATGAGCTGAGGAAAGATGCTATTTTTCACACAACTTTATCAACAAGTTACATAGGTTATACTCACTGCATGGAAAAACAAAATGCTTCCCATAGAAAGAAGAGTCTTTTTATCATTTATTTTGTAGGCCTACCAAGGCCGTGCATAAATTATAAAAGATGCTATCTAGTGCTTGCTTTAGAATGTAGTAAAACTTGTGTATCAGCAATTTTTTAAAATATTTACCTCTGAGCGACCACTTTTTAACATTCAGCACACACACAGTGTGAAATCTTGGCATTGGGCTGTAAATAGTCTCACTCTCTTCAGCCGTGAATGGGCTATCTAATGAAATATCGGACTTTTGTATAAATTCTGCCCTGACCAACTGACCTACTCAGTTTTCATTGATGGAGAAAGAAACTTTTTCAAACGCATAACTTCTACTATTATACAAAAAGGCAATCATGGAACAAACCCTCACCTAATGGGCTCGCACATTTGTCAAATAAGGAATAATTTATAAAAATGATTCAGTTAAAAATGAAAAAGCAAACAGAAAATTGATTGATTTCTATCTCCGTATTATACAAAATTAATTAAATACAGCAAACAGATAATTCAGCCTCATTCAACTTCAACTGCTCATCGTTTGTTTTAGTAAGGTTTTGCAGCACTAGCAACTGCATAAGGTCATATGAGCGACACGGGGTGGATGTCAACAGAGAAGTCCAAACGGGGAATCAGGCTTACTCTGCTCGCCTCTCCAGTCTCAACAGCGCAAAGTCTGCTACGACTATCAAGGCACCCTCGAAACAGCAGTTCATAAGAGAGTGACAAACATACAAAAGAAGTAGAGGAAACATGACGATAGCAAGGATGAGGAATAAAGCAGCAGTTCCCCCTATGTTGTTCCGGCACAATATGAGCATGACATTATTAAATCCGCCCATTTACAATCTACTGTGCATAAAAACATGGTAATATCCCCCCTTTAGGAATGGCCTATAGACTCCTCAAGATCAAGAAAGAAATGTCAGCATTATATGTCATGGTCACAAGGTCAAAGTGTACCCTTATATCAAGGAGAGATGCCCGGAAACACAACTGCTTCACAGCAGGAAACTAGCAAACCATCATTATCAAAGATGATCCTGACTTCTGTTTGTATTTTCCTTCAAATGAAGAACACAATTTTTTTCTGAAACAGAACGACTTAAAGACCACAAGAGAGAGAACTGAAGGAAGATGTGTGTGCTGCAAGTTCACATGATATAAAACAAAAACTTGTCAGCTGTGACAGTGACAAAATCGTGGCATGATTTTCATTTACAAGTGGGTCAGCATGTGGGTAAAAATTTGTAGAAAGCAAAAGTTTAGTGTAAAAGTACAGTTTTGTGTACTAAAACAATCCCTTTAAGATACACTGAGCTGAGTTTAAAATGAAAACGATGCAGCCACTATCACATAACAAAACTTACTTTAAGTCAATCTGCATGTCATTACAATTAAATGCCCCCTAACCTGAAAGACACAAAATGTGACAAAACAATGGCTATTACAGTAAAGCCCACTTAAACCAAAATCTGTGGGACCACCAAATTTTCTTCCATTTACAGAGGTTGCTCACACAAAAAAAAACAAAAAAAAACTCAGGGATTTAATTTTTTTTTTTTTTATTTATTTATTTTTTTTTTTTTGGGGGGGGGGGTTACTGCAGTTTTTGGATTAACCATGTTCTGTTTCAGTGGACTCCACTGTACATACTTTTTGCATGTGCTGCATCCTTGTTTTACCTTATGACCCCAAAACAAATAAAGCATTGAATACGTATGAAAAAGAGATAAGGACTTCAAACTGAATACATGTACATTACAAACATTTGAGTGCAGAGTAAAGGAAGCACATTCATGGGATCAATATAAAATATACAAAAGGACACTATTTTTTACAGTGCAACAAGGCCAAATTAGGAGTGCTGCATTTCTTAAACCTCAAAGCTTTTAAAAACCACTTCAGTTTCTGAGAAACTCCACTTTTTACTCAGCATGTCATTTAAAGTTCAGCATGCGAAAACTATCACCAGTGTTACAACAATAAGACCTGGCATCAATTTTTTTTTAAAAAGGTTAGTATTCGAATTAGAAAATAAGGCGAGACACTGGCTTTACACACAAAAATGATAAACAAATATATTTGCCTGTTTATACTATTTTACTTTCTCCTAAAATTGGCAAAACAAAGAAACTTCGTTCAAATTGATCTTAAGCTTAAAACTCGACAAAAACCAACGAAGTGGACTAAATGGCAGAAACTAAATATGGACATTAGATGCTAGGTTTAAATCTAAGAAACAATTTTTTTTTTCTTTCAACAGCAAAGACCTTTAGCAACCTGATGTTTATCATAAGTATTCATATCATATTTGACATACAAGTTCAAACAATTAAAATATGTTATTTTTACAATTTTCAACCTCAAGTAAGAAACATCGCTGAAATAACAATATCAACACAGTCACAATACTCAGCTTGGTCTTTTGAGGTGCGATTAGACATAATACACCCACTCTTTCCAAGAGTGCAGGCTTCGCTTTTCAAGATTCAAGAAACACATCTTCACACAAGTAGTAGTTTGAAAAATACACCATATTACTAAAAAAAAAAGCCTGTTCTTTTTTCTAAAATTCGACAATAAAAAGTTTGATAATTAGCCTATACAAGCATTTTAAATTGTCACAAAAAGAGGTACTGTAGTAGTTATTGATAACGTTGACAGCAACAGAATATAATAATATATATGTACAAACTTCTGATGACATATTGTCATAATTGATCTCCCTGAACCCAAAGCACACCTCACAACTTGTATGCTTCTTCTATTGATACAAATTTTCTTTACATTTATGAAGTGGAGAATGAATAACATTTTCTTCAATGACAGCTTAAAATTAGGGAAGAATTCTTTAAAATAAACTACATAAACCCAATCCATACGTTGTGTTTTACTACCATATCCATACGACGTGGGGAACTCTGAGCCACCACTTTCAAGGAGGAAATTTACTCGTTAATCCGATTTGCACGCTTTGCATAGCAGTCTAAAACGATTTTTGTAGAAATACCGAAAGTTTCAAAGAGATCTTCGTACTAGAAGTATTCTAAAATGTGAAGAATACAACCCTGAGGGTACAAAATGACCCCAGTGCGTACGGATAGGGTTAATTATATTTCAACAGCGGAGAGCCTTTATATTTATTTTACAAGAGGATAAATTGTTCTAAATTTCATCCTATTGCTAGTAACAAGCAAAAATTATGGATAGAAAATCGCATACCAGCTGCTTTTCATTCTAACAGCCCCATTTTCTTCATGTACTATGTGAATTTTGACTGCAGTATTCTTTGTGAGCCTGATTATCTTTCACTGTCGAATTGCACATTTTTTTTACTGTAACAGAATGAAAAAATAGAAACATAATCTTCAGGCCAGCAGAGGTTATGATTTGACAAAACAATATTTATCATAGTTTTAAAGAAACACTCTTATTGATAAACAAAATAACCACCCAACATTATTTACACAGTATCAAAACTTAGAAAAACGTCCAAAATAGGTTAGGCCCTGTGAAATTCCTCCCAAAAACAGAAAGGTGCTGTAGTACGGTACCTCAATATTCACTGTTCAACGTACAAGCAATTCTTACATGTCCATCCATTGTTCAATGGCATGCCAGTTCGACAACCTCATTCATAACCAACAGTGCCAACTATGGAGCATATGGTGGGGGCGGAGGCAGGTTTGACAAAGGAGACGAATCTTCTTCCGGGGGTGGGGGAGGAAGCAGGGCTTCTGTGTCGTCAAAGTAACGGTCTGCTTGTCTGACGTGCTCTGCCTCAACCCCTTTGTGCCTCCGCAGACAGTTGCAAGCGGTGGCAAGCACAGACATCCCGCCTGCCGCTGTGATCAAGTAGAAACTGGCAGCAAATGTGACCTCCACCTTACTGCCCAGGTGCATTCGACTGCTCTCTTGCAGCCTCTCTACGGCTGATGTTATCCAGTAAGCAAACAGATTGATTGAAATGCACATCACAACTGAAAGAGAAAAATAACATCAGAGTGTAACATTTGCAGGGTCACACTGTTCTGCTGCCCTTCCTAACCACTAATATATATTCATTACCATAAACGAAAACAAATCCGTCACCAAATAATACTCTGAAAATAACACCTCCTGACATGAGAAACCAAGTTGCATGTTTTTTTAAAAGAGATATTTACTGATCTGATATTACTAATCATTTTTCAGACACGTGAACTCAAGGATGATATACCTGTTTATAGCTGGTTCAGTTTCATAGATATCAGCGATCATTATTTTGCTTGTCTCAAAATGTTTAGACTACAATTTTCATCCATTTCACAACAATAGTTGAATCAGTGAATAAAACTTGTAAGGCAGTGTTTTATTGCAGTACGGCCTAGGGCTCCTTTCTGAACCTTAGCATTAAAGTGTTAACTAATTATTCATGCAGCACAGATCACTTCCACTTCCACAGTTGTGGATTCTTGCCTACAATACAACCATATACCATTGTAAAATTGTCACTAAACTGAGCATGCTATACCATCTTGAAGATAATAAAGTGAAAGCATTATTAAAGAGAGGAGTGGCTTTCAGTAGGACACTGCAGGGATGAATTTATTAATAATAAAAATGTTACTTTAGAACTAACGACCACTTGGTAAAAACAACATTGGCATATAATCAAATCCTAGTTTTGTAAAAGTACCTGTAAGAATGTTGAAAATCGCGTTGCGTCGTAGCAACTTGAGCAGCTGATAGGTGGGGCCAAACAAATCTAACAGGAATGAGATGAAGCTGAAGACCACAGCAATGAGGGTAAAAGCAATGCTTGCTTTGAACAACAGAACCGCTGTATAAGTGACACAGTTGACCAAAACTGAAAATGGAAAGAGAAAAGATGTGGAATAAATTTCATGTTGTACATGCTGTAACACAAGAGACAACATAGCAAGCTATGAATCCAAGTGAATTCATATCAATACCAATCCAGTCAAACCCAGTTATACCACCAATCTTGGGATGAACATGAAGTTGGCGTTGTAACTCAGTACTAAGTACTAATGTTGTCCTCTATTTAATTTTCAACATCAACTGCTCAGTGTCGAGGGGAATTATTCTGCCATGACAATATTATAACGAGTTATTTCCCTTCGTCAAAAAAAAGTTGATGGTCTGACCATCAGCTTCCCGCATGAAACAATCATAGCTCACAAACTCACATGTGAGAGAAATGGAGATTATCACCTCACAGTTACTGTGTGGGTGCTGCACTGTGCGGACATTTGGCGAGTGGCGTTCCAGGACAAATTGAGGTTAGATTAGTGAAGACCATACAACTCAGGCAGTTGGCAGATTGTGGCTCAAATAGTATGTTTAAATTGGTGTTCTTTTTCAGGCACTGGAAAAACAAGGTGGTATAATAATTCTAATAGCGGATGACTGTAATTTTGAAAATAAAACCAACGCCCCCCCCCCCCCCCCCCCCCATCCATTTGCCATACAACATGTGGTCTGGTACATTAACAAAAATAATAAACATAAACAATATTTTTGCTACTGCTTCTGCGACATCAAAGTTGTATTTATTTTGTCTCTGGTGTTTGGGAACTTTTCCTGTCATTTAGTTCAAAGTTAGGTTAAATAATTTTCAGTTTCATCACGGATCTGCAGCAGCGCACTTTATGAATGGTAAAATTAATATTCCTGTTCTTAGTGAATAGAACAATGTTAGTATTGTTCAAATTTTATTGTTACTTTGCTTTCTCAAAACGCTAGAAATAAATGTGGTTGAAACAAAAATAGAGACAAAAATAGTACTAAAGAACAATTACAAAAATCTTACTATCATTTGACGATCCTCCAAATTTATACACCATGTCTCCTGCACTGGTCAAAGGGTAGTTCTTGTAGAAGTGACCATTCGAGAAAAACTGTCGTGTGCTTAGGGTGTGAAGACTTCCCTTGGGGTCATGCAGCAGGTGACAATCACCACCCTGGAACAAAAAAGACAAGATATAATATCACTTTTAGCACAAATAGGACTGGTGTCATTTTTCTCTCAATCTTCCATTTAGAAAGAAAAAAGAAAGAAAGATAACTAATAGAGTGAAATGAGCACAAAAAAATTAATTATGAAAGGACCACTTTCATTCTCAAATAACAACAAAGTTCAAGAAAGTACGGAGCAATGTCAAAAGGATTTTCAAATTGTGCACAGAAAATGTTTTAAGTACTCTAACCACTTAAAAACCTCTTGAAAAGAATAAACAGATACTTTTTGAATTTTTCAAATCAGTTCATAAATTAAAAAGTTATGCCAAATTTTCTGAGAGAGAAATTCAGGGTATTTAAAGGATATTATAGAAGGAGTTATAGAGGCTCAGGCAGCACCAGAAAACTGACTGTATTCATTAATACTTTGCAGCTCTATGGTTGCATGAGTAATATTTCTAGTGGCTGTGGCATTTTGTAGTACTTTCTGCAAAAATATTATATATTACATTTTCATTTCTATGCATTGTGTACTTGGTATTTATGTTTTCAGTAACTTCAGCATTTCTACTAAAATGACTCTTTCTCATAGTTTAGAGAAAGAAAACATTGATGGACAGGTTATCTTTTTATTGCTCTTACTTTAAATAGTTCTATGAACTGGAAACACTTACAGACATATATATCCAGTTTGGCTCAAGAGAAGTGCACAGCAGGACAATGGTGACCATACTGCATGAAGCAGAAGCAAAATTCCGCTCTTTGTGCTGAAAATACGTCCTGCATCTGTGGCGGCTGTGACGACGATTAGAGGAATGGCGGTGACGACTGCGAGACCGACCGTTTGCAGATCGGCTCCTGTGTGAATGCCCCCTGCGTGAGCTTCTAGCACGGCCTCCTGACCCAGACCTTCTAGGGTGACTGGAGCCCGGGTCAACAACCGGTGGAGGGAGGGAGGAATGTGGTAAACTGGTGGCTGAATGTCCTGGGGTATCCTCCTCTTGGTTCTCTGGTGGATCAGGACTTTCAGACTGGCTCATGATGACTACTGTAAGAGTAGATCTCAGATCTCATATATACAGCAAGCCACTGTTGAAAATCAAAAAGACAAAAAAGGAATAATTCATCAAAGCTCACCAGTCCCAATAATATCATTATTTCATTTTCGTATCTTATTAATTATGTATGGCTGAGAAAGTTCTTCCTTGTGTAGTTGAACTAGTTTTTATCAAACGTTTTTTTCTTGTGTGTGTGTGAGGTTTACTCCAGTAATCATGACATTGATGTAAAGCGCTCAGAGTTTACACTTGTATGGGATAGAGCACTACAAAAATGCAATCTTACCTCAGATTAATATTGAGCGGGATTGTTGGGGGGGGGGGGGTTGCAAGACTTGAGACAACAGTAACAGAGTAAACATATTTCAGAAATCTGTTTGAGAATGTTGTACAGGAATGAAGTATTATCATGGGGATGACTGATTTAATCTCGTTTTCCAATCAACAAAATTTAGATTGTTCAGGAGGTTGTAACGAGGAAAAGCTGAACTTTTACAAGTAACAACAAGTTACAAGGACAAGGTGTACGGCATTTGGTGTTTTGTAGCGAAAGAGCAAAGAAACAGCGATCTAAATTGTCCCCGATTCCACCGATACCATGCGCTCGGAAGGCCGCGAGTATCCGCTAGGCCGTGTTTACGCTACCTACGAAAAAGCAGGGCAGGAAAGACAGAATAAAATGTTCAATAATAAATCAACATCACAGAGGAGATGTTTTCAACGACAACTTGACAACTGCCTGAGAAAAACAACCATACATAACAATGACAATCAAGAGAAAGATGTTTGCTTCTCCCCTCGATACCATAATAATATAAGTATTAAAAGGTGGTGAGAGGCTGCAAAAGATAGGCAAAGTACATGATAGATCTTAGATTAGATCTACAATCTAGAATCTAGAAATAGATAATGGGTAGACCTACCTGAGACTGAGAATGGGAGAAGTTAACGTTCCAGGAATGAACCAGGAACTGGAGTCTGGAGTTATTTTGCTTCCGGTTAGTGTCAACAGTGACTGTGCTAGCCTAGTGCTTTGTTGAATTGATGTTGTAGTGAAGAACATAGACAGATTTCAGCGCATGTATTGATTTTTCTGAGCCAAATAAAACTTGCTGCGGTAAATATTTAAAGGGAAAAACCACTGTTACAGTTAAAAGTCTAGATTAATAGAAGTCATTTCATAAAATACTAGGCACATTATTATGCTCTTGAATTTGTTTGTAATGATAGAAATGAATATATCGTACATCAGAGCTTGAGTTTTGCAGACACAATATTATTTTTTTTATAATACTTTTAGGCAAATGACCTAGAGCCAAGAAAAAAAAGGTACGCGCAAGGGGGGACAACTATTTTCGTCTATATTCTTCAAAATGGCGACCTCCAGTGATGGTGTCTCTGGAACGTCTCCACATCTTGTTGATGACTTCGAATCTGCGTTCCAAGTAAGTATTTTGGCAAGGATCTTGCTGAATTGTGACCTTATGAATGGCTGTAGATTGACCTCCCGCTGTATTGAGAATAGCCACTTCCATTTAGAATAGATAGCAGGTATAGATTCTATGTCTATACTATACTATAATACTAAGTCTATACACATCCATTCTAAACTAATGTCTAAATGGAAGTAGATCTAGATCTAGATTCTAGATCTAGATTCGAGAGATCTAGATCTAGAATCTAGATCTAGAAATATAGATCTAGATATCTATATATCTAGATCTAGATCTAGATCAAGTTGTATGTGTAGTCTATACATACAACGTCCTAAGAATGTGTCCCCCCAACTCCTCAGCCAACATCACAACAGTGTCAACAGACAGTGACAACAGTCGGGGTTCTTTGGAAAGGCCACTTCTATTCTCACCCGGAGTGAGAATAGTGCAGGCGAGTCTTGTGGCTATTCTCACCCGGTGCGCGTTCACCAAATTTTGCGTTCACTCTAAACCATAGAATTCTACACTGTGAGGAAAAATTGTAGAATTCTGTGCCGTGAACAAACGTTCCATTACAACTGTAGCCTACTAAAAGCGTACAATTTTGTCTGTGGGCAGTGGAGAGAAAGAGAGAGAGGAGTAGCGCGAAAATTTACGGGCAAAACAAAATGGCGACCCGCGTAGTTCGGCTCGATTCGAAAAGTTAAATAGCCGTAGCATCTTTGTAGACAACCAAATTAATTTACTTTTGTGTTTTAACATCATTTTTAAACTTTGTTTTGGTCAATTTGATCGTCCACACCGATAGACAGTGTTCAGAGAGAGAAAGAAGAGGGGTGGAGTTGATCTTGCGAGAACTTCCGGGCGGGTGAGAATAGCCACTTTCCTTTGGAAATTGCCTTCCCGTTTGTTTACCTTAAGAAACAAGTGTTTGCGAAGGACAAAAGTGGCCATGTAAGCTGAGTGAACGCTTCCACATTAGCCAATAGATTCTAATATTTTTCTTCTTCTATTTCTTCGAACGTTCGGGAAAATAAACTTGAACTCTATTTCTCTGCGGTTTCCGTTCTCAAGATTTTGTTGATAATAAGCGAATGGATTGGCCCGTGTGTGTGTGTAAGGTGTGAACGGATTGGGGGGGGGGGGGGGGGGGGGTTACATGAAGGATTTTAGTTTTCGAAGTGACTATTCGGACTTCTGTCCGAATATGAAAAAATGTTATTCGGACTCTGATTCTTGTCCAGCATGACATCACTTCCGACTTCCTGTGACTCGTGACTCCGGCTTCCTGTCCTGCCTCACTCGTGACTCGCTCAGGCTGGGTAGAGACTGGGATCACTTCGGGCAAAATGGCGTTTTGTTAGGCACTTGGATATCGGCCCGCGCGGCTTGCCCCCCCCCCGGCAAAAATAATAATTAAAAAAACAAACACAATTTTCACATTTACGTGGCATATGTATCTGTTTCAAAATGGCTGCCAATGGAACATGAAGGCAATTTTCAAAGAGCGCCCAACAGTCAACACACTCTCACTCAGCACAGTAGTCGCAGAAAATTTGTGTATTGTCTTATAAATTAATTAGTTAATTATATCTGGTCCTGTCTGATCATGAGTATAGATAGTCTGAATATCAGGGTTGGTGATTTTTAAAATTTAAATCAGATTTTTCAAAATTTAAATCGGATTTTTTATTATTTTTTTTATTGAAAAAACAGTTTAAAATTTTTGGTGGCGAAAAGTATGTTCTTTTAGTGCAAAATGCATTGTCTTTATTTTAACTAATGATTAATTTAAGCAACTGCATAACAAAGCCTTAATTCGCTATATCAGTGAATTATGGCTAGATCTACAGACAAAAAAATGAAGAAAATGTCAGTCTAAAAGGGGGGGGGGGGTAATTATGCATAGTTAAACTTGCATTTTTTTTACAGTGTGTGTGTGTGTGTGTGCGCGCGCGTTTGTGTTTGTCTAAAAAGAAAAAGGAAATGCTAATTTCAATTATGAAAAAAAAGTCAATTGAATACTGTATTATTTTATAGTGACAGGGGGGAAAGCAGACTTTTAAGCATGAACATGATTATATTAGTCTACTAAACCTTATATCTGATTTATAAAACCAAGGAAAGAAATTCTGAATGTTTAAAGATGTAAAAACAGAGTACATTCTTTAAAAAGTGATTTAAATCACTGAGTTAGGTTTTTAAAATCAACTTGATTTTTAAAAAATTTTTAAACTGATTTAAATCAACCCAACCCTGATTTCAATTATGAAAAAAAAAGTAAATTGAATACTGTATTATTTTACAGTGACAGGGGGGAAATCAGACTTTTAAGCATGATTATAAATATTAGTCTACTAAACCTTATATCTGTTTAATAAAACCAAGGAAAGAAATTCTGAATGTTTAAATATGTAAAAACTAAATACATTTTTTAAAAAGTGATTTAAGTCGCTGCTTTTTATTTTTAAAATCAAGTTGATTAAAATCAACCCAGCTCTGATTTCAATTATGGAAAAAAAGTAAATTGAATACTTTATACTGTATTATTTTACAGTGAAAGGAGGGAAAGCAGACTTTTAAGCTTGATTATATTAGTCTACTAAACCTTATATCTGTTTTATGATACCAAGGAAAGGAATTCTGAATGTTGAAACTGAATAAAAATAAAAAATTTTAAAGTGATTTAAATCACTGGTTTTTATTTTAAAAATCAAGTTGATTTAAATAAAAAAAGTCAACTGATTTAAATCAACCCAACCCTGCTGAATAGGCCTCTGAGGTTGACGATGGGCTAACAACAACCCATCTCGCCATCTAGATAAAGATAGGGTAGATCTAGCTTACTTACTAAACAAACTTTCAGAAACGAATAGTGAATGACGTAGATCTACCATGCTTGTTAATTAATTGCAGATCTATTTAGATAAATATAATGTAGGAGCCTCTGTGTGTTGGTGAACGGGAGGGAGCAATTCCCGTGAAACTATTATGAATGAATGTTAACATCCAGAGGAGTTCCCTTCTGGAAATGAAAAATCATTTTACATTTACCAGGGCCAGGGTGACTGGGGGGCCCCGGGAATTTGATAAAAATCACAGAGACCTGGGAATTTGAGGAAATCTGTAAATTGCCCCGGGAATAAGCCGGGTAGACTCGAAAAAATACATATTACAGTAGGCATCAGAAACTAAATTTTCAGAGTAGCTGTATGCCAAATTTATCTGTTCCATATGAAAGGCTTATACTTATATCTCCTGGGAATTTTGGTTCCATTCTTTAACCTCTCGGTCAATTTTTAAGAAAATGGTAGCTGTTTAAAATTTAATCAAATTTGTTTTAGTCGCTCATTGTCTGCAACCCCATGTTTGACAGATAATAAAAGAGTACAAAGTGCACCAAACATTTCCGCATTAACAGAGTACAGTCACTGCCTTTTGGAGCCCACCTACAGCAAGAGCTCACTCGATCTGTCCCGCTGTATCCAAGTTCGGCACTTTCCTTGCCCCGCTAAACCCAAGCATTTATAAGTAATTAAGTTTGCATCGAAAAAAAGGGGATTCCGGTAAAGTTCCGCTGTAGGGGTTAGATGGAGTAGTAGTGTATCTAGATCTACACAAGGTTGTCTATGATTATGAACTTGGGTATAAAGAAAAAAGGCAGCTGAAATGGCCATTGTCAAACTATGTGGCCTCACACAATGCACACATCGGAGATAGACCTTTGACAGTAGACCAAAAGGCCGTGGGGAAAATTCTTTGCTATTTATAATATTCTGACAAAAATAATAAACTGTATGAAATCATTATATACTTTTAAAGCAAGTTGCTGTGTCCTTTCCGCCCTCCCTCTAAAAGTGATGCAACATTCTTTTTTTTTTCTTCTTCTTTTTTTTGGGTTGCCCATTTCTATGATATTGGAATTATTGACGCCATCTGATTAGTAGGAAAATGTGCATATGATAGTGCCCAATAATTTATTTCGTACATAATTGTTATAACATATAACTGTATATAATTATAGACGTTTGTGAAGGATCTGAGAGCAATGATGATTTTTTAAATATAGGTTTGGGTGGTGATCAGTGATGATGAGGGATGGTGTTTATGTATATATAATTGTTAAGAAGACATGCTTCTTTTAGTTGTTTGTTTTTTTTGTTTCTTTTTCAATAATGTTAGCGTTAGTCCTATCTTCCTCTGCTTTGATGAGTCATGGGGGATGTGGGAACCCGCTATCCCGTTCCCAATGAAGAAACATTCTAATGGGCAGTCTTAAGCCTGCAAGCACTCATGGTCAGGACCTCAGAAGGGAATTTTTTTTTTCTTCTTCATTTTAATCTGTCCTTCTCAAGACTTCCACCAATCCAAGACAACAACTTTTCTCCTCGACAATGGGTGGCAGTCTAAGAAAATCAATTAGACAGTATCAATCTTGATTTGACTAATTTGGTTTTCTACTTATATTCAAACATCATTCTGTAGAATTTTTTGATAGACTGAATTTTTTACACTGCTATAAAATATTTATGTGTACTTATATTCAATGAACCTGGCTTAAAGTGTGATGGTCAGATACAGATTATTTTTTTCTTTCTCATCTGTTGTTTTTTTTTCAGAATTGCATCTCTTTATTAACATCTCAAGAACATTTCAATGTTCAAGATCCTGAAGAAACGAAAGGAGGTATGTAGCATGTTTCATGACTTGATTTGAATTAGAAGAAAAGCCTGACATAGTGAGAATGAAAGTAGCTCAATATGTTTATTCTCAAGCAATTTGTGCTTATTAATTGTATTGAATGAGGTCTGTTCTGGGTTTTTCCTTTCTTTTTAAAATTAATTTAGGTGGGGAGGGAGGAGAATTTATACTTTTTAAAAGTGTTTTTGCTCATAATGAAATTAAAGCAAATATCGCAAGACTTATTCTCTGTACCAGCTCAGAGACTTCTGTGTTGCTTCAATGTAAGAAGGCTGAAGGTCTTGCTCATGTCATTAATATAATATGTTAAATAAATGATTTTTTTTAAAAAAGCTCCTTACTATCTGCAATAAGGCTGCTGTTGATGTAAAAATTAATAAAGTGTTTTGCTGTTGATTTTTTATTTATGCTCACAATATATTTGAATATATATCAATATAACTTTCAAGGTCTGTCAGCAACCTGAAGATTGCGTTGATATTTTATATTTATTAAATTTTTTTTTTTTTTAAATTCACTTCCATCTTTATTCTTTTACTCACATCAAGGAACATTCACATATATTTTCAACAGTGCAAAAATAGGAAAATTAAAATTAAAGTTAATGTATGAAACTGAAGAGCTCACAAGAATGATACATTACCAGGTATCAAACTCAAAGTTCTCAAAGTATATTTAATTTATTTCGTATTGTTTTAATAAATTTTTTAAAAAATTCACTTCCATCTTTATTCTTTTACTCACATCAAGGAACATTCATATATTTTCAAAAGTGTAAAAATATGAAAATTAATATTAAGAAATGGAACCTAGATTCAGAAGTAAAATTAATGAGAAAATGGCCGCCAAAGTTCAGTGAATTCCATAGCTAAAGAGTCCTTGGGAACTGCAAATTAACATTTCTTGTGCCTTTAATCAATGTTTTGCCATAAAATCCACACTTAAAAATGTTTTTGAATGGAGACATGGGGCCAAGAAACAAAAATTTGAAAAAATTTGCAACTGGCCAAGAAATGCTGATTTCTCGGATTTCATTATTTTGACAAGTGCCTGATTTCACCACGGTGCATGCCTCACATATGTGTATTTCATTTTTACTCAACACTTCTTTGTTTTTCCCCTTGCTTTTGTTTTGAAGGGGTGGAGAACAGTGTCCAGCGCTTCTTGGAATCAGCAAGACAAATGGAAACATTCTTCCTGAATAAACGACTTGTTTTGTCTGTTGCAAAACCAGAACATGTATTGAATGAGGTAATAAGATGCTGCTATTTTATTTTATTTTGCATATTTTATGTGTACTTATTGACTCTTTCCCCTCACTTATTGGCCTTTTTCCTTCCCTTGAAAAAAATATTTTTTGTAGAAACTTTCAATACATTTCCTGCCAACGGAAAAAATGTTTTATCTGTCCCGGGTGCTCATATGACTTTATGCAGTTGCGAGCGCCAAAAACACTTACCACAAAAAATTTTTTAAAAAGACAAGCCATCTTTTTCCAATCTAAACATTTGTCTTTTAGATTGTCTGTTTAATCATTTATATAAGTGGCTGGCAGGTGCTCTGGTGTGGTTTCCTCCTTCTTAAAGCTTTCTTTTCTTTGTATGTTACTCTCTTGTAAAGCTCTTTTAAGTGTCCCGGAAAAAGCTGATTTTTATTCTCATCTAAAATTTTATGTTGTTTAGTACTCGTAAAACTATTCTCTGTTCAATACAAGAAGAGCACTTGTGTACTAAGACGAAAATATATCCACACATATTACTTCTGACAAGTATCAATGAATAGTGCTTTTTGAAGCAAGTGTTGTCTGCAGTCTTTGTTTCATTGAGTCAGTCCCAGATTCTTCCCAACATCTCCTAACATCATTAAAGTATGTAGTTATTACCTTGGGTTTCTTTTTCTCGTCCGATATAGGATATTACAGAGTTGAGAACAGAGCTGGAACGCAAAGACAAGCTCATTGAAAAGCATCATGAGAAGTTGCAAAAATGGCAAGCCCTCTTACGGTCCAATGCGCCTCCACCATCTACAACACCTTCCAGCCCTTTTCCTGGGACACAAACCCAAGCCCACCAGACAATGGCAACGGGGCCCTCCATGCCCCAGACTACCCCGAGTGGACCACAAATGTCCGGCCCGCAGTCTTCCCAGGGCATGATGGGTCAGCAGGTGGGCAGCATGGCTCCAGGCCAGTACCCAGGCCCTCCAGCAGGCCATCCGGGACAGTACAACATGCCACCCCCTGCATATCATCAAGGACCTTTAGCATTTTTAGAGAGAATGTGAGTGATGTGTTTATCGAACTCAAAAAGTGTAATGAAAAAGACTGGACCTTGACGTTTTAAAAAATGTCCCATCCCTGGACTAATCAATCAAGGTTAGCCCCAGGTGCACTGATGTGACTGGATGTTAAGAAATACGCCCCTGGCCCGTATACCAGCAGATTTACCCTGTACCACCTACATCGTGTTGCCGTTTTGGGTCAGACATTTTACATATAGGAAAATACTTGCATTCCCATTTTGGATCAGACTTTTTTTTATAGGAAAATTCTCTGGTCTTTTGTTGGATCACACTATTGCAGTGTTGAGGTAAATGATTATGGCATTGTAGGGTACAGTGGAGTCCACTTATAACGAGTCCCGAAACAACAAGAAGTCTGCTATAAAGACACTATTCTAAAACCCTGTTTTTTCCCTTCTTTATCTTTGTAAATAAGATACTGCTATTGCACAATCAGACAGTCTCGCGAGTCGGTTATAGCGGAATAATGCTGCTGATGTGAACAGCACACAGACCAATTAAACATATAAAACCTCGCCAGTTGAGAAAGTTGTTGGTGATCCAGCGAAACAAAGAACGGGAGAGCCCACGCGAACCAACAATGAAGGCCGGAGCGAATGAGTGGGGAGGGTGTGGTATGCGCAGACAAGCAGAACGCATCGCGTGATAGGCCAGCCCAGTCTAGATTATCTAGGCATACCGTGCCTCTCTCTTCTCCTTTCGAGTGGGATGGAGAGGTCACAATGCTGTGATAGATGGAGTGAATGTGTGACGTGCGCAAGCAGATGCAACTCACCACAGGGTGTGGTGGGGTGGGGAACAACACAGCGGGCAAGTTAGCCTAGAGCCAGAGCCCCTTCTTTTTGATCGCCAAAGCCGATTTGTCAACATTGCTAGTGCTAGAGAAAGAAACCTGATTCGATTTTTGATCAAGTAAGACCTTGAGATCATGTTGAACAAAATCATCATCAGGGGAAAGACAAAAAGGAATAAACAGAACACCAAACTCATAGATTAGGCCAACTTTACTATTTCCCTTGAATTTATTACTGGATCCCTAATAACGAGAATCCTGCTATAACGGACATTTCGCACCGGTCCCCTCCCTCTCGTTATAACAGGATTCCACTGTATAATGAAAGTATAAAGTGTGGGGTTTCACATAAGCATTGGGAGGTCCCAGGTTCAAATCATGAGCCAGATGTGGAAGATTACTTGGCAATAGGCTTTTGAAAGATAATGTTAGTGAGCAATGGGCAGATGCATATCTTTAATTCTTAATCAGTGACTCAGAGTACAGGTAGAAACACAAATAAGTGAAATAAAATGACAAAGAGATCACTTTACAGGCATATTGTTCAATCAATGGTTTCAGGGAAGCTTCATTGACGTACATGTAGGTAAATCATTTTTCAAAACCAAAACAGGCAATGCAAGAACGTATAAAACATGGGGCAGCAAAAAAAAGCAAATTGCGATAGCATTCAAATGAAAGAAAATGACAGGTACAGTGTACGGTACTACAAATGTATTATTCAAACCATGGTTTCAGAGAAGCTTCAGTGACAGCAGATTATGCAAGAACATACGTATCAAAAAGACATGGGGGCGGCAAAGTATGCAACTTAAATGCTGATGGCATCACTAAGGGAAGCTTCATCATCACTAACTCAGGTTTCAACATTATGAGAATCATTATCCACATCCACACTAAATGTTTCAAACACAATCTGCTCTGCCATTGTGGTGTGCTTGAGTGAGACTGGATCTAGTGCAAGTAAGTTATCGTTTTCGAACAACTTATTTTATCTTGAACTGTATCAATTACATTATACTTGTAAAAGCGAAGAAGAATGAAAAAATGGGTGATTTCGCTTACCTGGTACCGGTACTGGTATTTTCTTGACCTCCAGTATTTATATACGACTGTTCTGAAAAAGGGTTACTTTGCTGGGAATGTGGTTGTTTTCTTTTTTCCTTCTTTGCGAAGTATCACATGAAAAAGGAACACGACGTAAGGCCACGGGTAAAAGTTTTTTACTGGGTGTTCATGATAAAGTTGAAACAAAATATTATCGAAGCTAATACTAAAACATGCCAAATTGGCTGCTTGGGGAATACTAAACGTTTGAGTACTGCCCTCTTCTGCGTCACCTTGCAATGAACCTGTGTTCCCTTTTCAGAACACAACATAGGCAGAGGGTTGAGTAAGGCTGCCACATTTCTAGATATGTTCATATCTTCTAACACACTTAATTTCAAGTTTGACTCTCATACCTTATATAGGTATATAATGTCAATGTACTATTTTGGAAACATCTCAGTGAGTTTTATCAGCTACAGTGGCTTGGCTATTTGTGTTAAAGAAATTACCATCTCACGTTTTAGGTGCTTGAAAAGGGATTTGTACTACAACATTCTCTTAACTGTTTCTTTATCTTATGCATGGATGTTTAAGTATGCTGTATGTGTGTGTGTGTAACACTGAGTCAGAGATGTTTATGTGGGTGCATGTGTGCTTGTGTGTTTGAATGTGTTTACATATGTAATAATGTAAGGGGGTGGAATCTTAGTGTGCTTACATGTGACTACATAAGAGAGTATTATGTGTGTATGTGTCTGTTAGTTTTGGCACTAAGTCTCTTAGAGACCTGGTTGGAATGAGATTAGAAAGGTGTTCACAAGTGGAAATGTGTGCCTGTGTGTGTGCGTGGAGAGGTGAGGAGGTTTTAGTCATATGAGTGATGATTTATAGTCTTATATCTAGGAGGGAAAGCTCATATACAACTTAACATGACTCACTTGGCAGTGCATGTCTTTCCAACTTGTTATCTCTTTGCTGTCTGTCAGGTGCATACTGATATCATTCACAAATTCTTCTACTGCAAATTGCTTTAGTGTGAACACCAGCTGATCTTGCACTTATGACAATAAACTGAAATACATAAAGTAGCCTACTCATCGGTAAAACATATAAATACTATATCCTATACAGCTGAAATAAGAATCGAACCCACTGTTTTTAGAATGCAAGGCTCAGGTCTTAATTGGACCATCTGGAGACAATTTTTATAAGAGAGAGAATGAAATAAATGAATGTTATTATTACATATGTCAGCTGACAATCTGTTTTAAAAATATTTTCAGAGAAATGAGACTGGGAAGGATATGAATGGATGTGCATGTATCTATTGAGTAGGAAGAGAGAGGCTACAAAATTATGTCGACTCAAAGGAATGTCTGCATGTTTGTGGATAGTAGATTTACTGTTTTATTGTCAATATTTTACTTCAGAGAGGGCAAATGGGCATTGCAGATTTCTCAACCACATGAATTCTGCAATTGAAATTGTATGTATTGTGTTCAGTGTCCAATGAAATTATCATGACATATTTTGTACTAAAGTGTTTTTGTAAATAAATATGTGTCGGAAAAATATATATGAATTTCTTTTTTTTTTTTTTTATAAAAATTTAAAGTCTAGATTGAGTGTTACTTTCACAAATATTACAGACATACGTGGGATAATAAGAATATTGCTATTGTGCTCTCGAACTCGAACAGTCATTGTTATTTTGAAATTTCCATTCTGATCTTTCTTTTCTTTACTTTAGTCTTTTTTATGATTTTTTGGTTGTCATCATGGCCTTGATTTGCAAACAAAAATCTGCAAAGAATGATGTCCACGTTGACCACAGGCACACTTGTGATTGATAAGGCCATTATGGGACAGGCAGGTCAGACCGCAAATAAAGGTCTGATAGGGGTTATGTGGTGAGGTTTTGTGGTTCTTCCCCCCTCTGTTTCTTGTTTTTTAGACTGGCATAGTTGCTGACAAATATGTAAAAAATGTATCTATAACTTTTTTGAGGATCTGACTAGTCTGAGTATGGAAGTCCATATTATTTTGTCCAAAAATATGTATTCTCTGTTTTGTAGTGACTTGTATTGCTCCTCGTGTATTTGCCTATGCCGAAGAAAAAAAATGAACTTTCAAGACCCAACTTGCGAATTATAAAGAAAATAAAGCCCATAAGAACTTTACATGTACTAAACATTTCTATCATCGGTGTTACAGGTCTATTTTGAGTGGCATGAATTTATTGAGTGCAATAAATTGTAGGTGAAAGGTTTAGCGAGCAGTCATTTGTCCAGTACTCATCATCTTGACCCACAGCGAGGGTTAAGTCTGTTTTTATATAGAGTATTCTCAATCTTTGTGCTGGGATGTTGTATCCCTCTCAGCTCAGGTTGGCCCTGGCCTGACAGGCAGGGTCAGCAGCTCCCTCACATCTAAACAATCTCACTTTTAGAAGTTCCCAGGAAAGGAGGTTAATAATTAACTGAAAGATTTTTGCCCATCTTTCTCCTTCAGATTGGAACTCTCCTCAGCCTCTTCTTAGACACACGTCTAAAGTTAAGACATATTTTGTAAGACATATTTTATTAAATCATTTTTAACATTAACTTAGTAGCTTCATTTTCAGTACATGTACAATAGGTAAATGGTCTTATATGTATTTTTTTAAACCAATGGATCGCATTGTGTATATTTACACTATGCATTTGTATGGCTCAGTCATAATGAAATACATTATTAGTGGGTGGTTGGCAGGTGCTCTGGTGTGGTTTGTTCCTTCTTTCCTATTTTCTTCTGTCTGTGAATGGCAGTTTTCAAAGTTATTTTTCTCTGTTCTGGATTTATGTAAAGTAAAACATCTAGAGCTGTGTGCACACAAGAGAGGATGCTATAAGGCTATAAAAATTATCTGCATTGTTATTATTATTATTATTAAAGGTATTTTGGTCGGTGGTTGGCAGGTGCTCTGGTATGGTTTGCTCTTTCTTTCCTAACAAATCGCAATCTCAGTGCTTTCTTGTCCTATCTCCATTTTTTTAAACATTGAAAATGTGATCTTTTCTTAAGCTCACTCTTTGTTATGAATTGTTTTCACTCCTAGGGCAAGAAAGCATCGAGGTTGCGAAATATCTCAAATATCTGTCTCTCCTCCTTTTTTTGTGTTTGTT